CTATAGAATAATCTACTTATTTTCAAAATTTCAAGCTTGTATCATTGTTTTGACTTATAGCCCAAACATCCTTAAACGAAACTGGCAAGTATTTATCGATCCGACTCCCTGGTCCCTTTTTGGGATATCTCACTCTTTCTCAGACACATAATTTTTAAGACAGTACATGAAATGTCAAATATATTCATTTCAAATTATGTAAGAAAACGTTTTCTTATATCGTGCAACCTTTTTATCGAATGCTTTCCATCTAGTATAGAAACAGATATTTCTCAAAGTCAGACACTAAATTCTTTAAGAGGAAATAGATTAATTAAAAAAATCAACGAAAGAAACGGATATCTATACTCGCCAAGATTTTAATCAGAATTGAAACTTCTGATAGTTTCAAGATTGTTTCATAGCCGATCATCTACCCGATTCACCCGCGATATTTCTAACGATTTCACTCGACCGACACTCGATTCGATCGAGCAAAAAATCGAGAATTGTATATCTATTCTAGGCTCATTGTTAGAGATGTATTGTACGAAAGTAATAGTCTGCTTCGCATCTAAGGAAATATCGATAAATCGGATGCGAACGGATTCATACGATTAATCTAAGTAGGTACGAACGCGAACATGTATGTGTATTTGCATTTCCGTGTTATTTTTTATTACGCGTGTCTGTATTTGTCTCTATGTGTAAGTTCGAGGGGCGTATAGTGGATTCAAGGATTACAGGCCTTACCGATCTACCACCACGCAACGAACGCACCTGCGTAGCACCTTCAGAGTTCTCGATGACGATTATGACTACTGTCGAGTGTTTAGGATACCTATGTCTGCGATCTCGATTACAGCGATCCGGATTTAGACGTACTATGTTATTCCGATAACAGTAATTGTAATCTTTATGACTTTTAATTATCGCTTTTCGCTTTCAATTGTATGAGCCAAATCATCAGCAGATCCACATTATAAGAGCTGGAGTATTAATCGTATATACTTTAGATTCAGATTAGACAGCCTCAGATTACAAATTTACTACCATTCCCAGAATTTTTGTGATTATACTGTGTGGAAACGTTTAAATTATTATAGTTTGAAATTTTATGTAACAATTTCAAAGACGTTTTATCCGGAATCACTGAAAAAGAGTCATGAAACTACAACCTATTGGACGAGGAACAGAAGTATTAATATATCTAATAACTGCTGTATCTAAGTGAAAATAATTGTGAGAAATGATATCGCAACCGATCATTCGGAGAGGTCTTTCACACGACGATTCGTGTATAGCGTTTTAGAATGAAAACATGCATGTACTTACTTATACAGCTATCCAAATGTATCTTCTTATTCTTGTTCATCCCTCTTCAAACAAAACATCATCTGGCCAACCGTGGCTACAGGAGCTGAATCCTAATTTCATTTGTTACCTCTTGTATAAACAGGATACTTACAATATGTACAATTGTTTATCAAACCTGATTTAGGATTTAGACGTATCGTCGTGTGAGGAGAGTCTTGAAAATGAACTGTAATCGAGTCGAGGCGATAAAAGGAACTGTGCGGGTCGAAGACAGAGGCGGCGGTGCGGGATACATGATATGAAAAGCCGACGAAGCTAAGTCGCGGAGATCGCGCGCGCGTCATTTACGTACTCGATTAATAATCTCATATGTAACCTGCGTGACGTTCGAAAAGGACGTCGTCGATCCGATATCCATCCGACGTCGCGTTCTTTCCTTAAACGCATTCTCTTCCACATTCTCTCTCTCTCTCTCTCTCTCTCTCTCTCTCTCTCTCTTTCTCTCTTACTAGCAAATCGATAATACATCTTACATACAAGATCGTTGTGCCGATCTTGAGTCGTTTTCTGGCTCGTTTAAAACTACGCTGAAGCTCGAACTTACAATGTATTTCCCTCTTTATCTCGTCGTTGCCGTTCTTCCTCTCGGTTGTACGCTCCTGTAACCTCTCTCGCGATTCCCGACATAGAGCAGCCAACCGAACACGCGTTTCCCCGAAAGAGGCTCGCTCCACACCCGACGAGATACGTCCACCCTCTCTCTTTCTTTCTCGTCTCGTCTCGTTCGTATCACAGATCTAAGGAAACAGGAGGATTGATTTCCGGTTTCTGAACGCACGTTCTCGCTTCGCGGACGGACGCTTTCGATTCGAGCCGCGTTTCTTCGATCACCGATCACCACCTGTCACCGCGAACGATCTTTGAAACAATCTCTTCATCTGTGTTCATCCCAGCTGATTTCATCCCCCTTTCTTCTTCTTCTTACGGAGAACTGGCTCATGCCGCGAGAATCGAATTTCTTTTTTTTAGGAACCGTGTATGTGTGCATCGGCGAGCACAGATCCGCACTTCCGGTCGCACGTAATCGCACTTCTCTCGAAAGCGTTGGATCGTCGCGTCGCGTATTCTCGTTTTCCCTTTCGTCAGACGCGTCTCTTTTTTTCCACGTGTACATTATGTATTTAGATGCGAAGCGTTCGTGGGAAGAATAGACCACCGAGAACAAAACCGGATCTTTGAGAGTGCCGTACACGCGCACTATGGCAAATGGAATATGTTTTTGTTTTTTTTAATGGCAGCTGTTCGTTTCTTATTTATTTGTGAACAATGACACGATGAACACCGTGGACAGTCATGTTGCACTCGATTAAACGCGAACCATTTTAGAATCTATGAACAGTTACTTTCCTCGGCTTGAGTGTCCGTCGAAAAAAATGTCCTAGGCGAAGGTAGAAGTGATCGGGACGAGGCTAGTCGAACCGATCGAAGGTTAAAAAAAAAATCGCGGTGATCAACGTTCGATTCGCTTTTTGCGAGTTTCTCGATTCTCACTTGGTCGAAAAATCGTCGTTAGAAAGAAAGACGAAGGCAGTGGTGTAACCTGTCAGCAGGAGGGTGAGACTCGACCAACTGATTGTCGATGGACCGCGATTCTTGGGTAGTGCGTTTATATGTGTCTTCGCGTCGGTGTCTCGGTTTGACGAAGGCTCCAACGATCGGTTCCATCAGACCAAAGGGGTCCCGTATACCTCGTTAGTGTGCAGATTTTGATTGCTGTCATTCTGTCTCGAGGCGCATTGCTGAAACACAGAAACGGACCGCGGACCTCAAACAACCGATCGATCTCAACCGATTTCCTATTTTTCCCGTCTGCTAAGTATCATAGTCTTATCACGAATTTGCTAATAAAAAGTATATTGTACCCTTCAGTATTAGAATTCCTCTCAATAAATTAGTAGCACAAGCCAAGCTGTGATGCCAGCAGTACATTCTCGCCCACTGCCTCGATGAGATTCTTAAGGCGAGTGCTACCTGCTTGTCTCGCCTCGGATTGCCTCATTTTAACTTCTGTGACTGGATATTCTCGCTTGGATTCGAGCATTGTAATAAAAAGTCAATTCAAAACCTAGCGCTGAAGACATGAGATAAGACGACACAAGGCGAAGCAAGAATTGCAAGTACACTCTTGTGCTCGGATGATCTCGCCTTGTCTTGATGCGAGTATACTGCTAGCACTACAAATTCCAATTACGAAAACAATAACGTAATTCACAATGTAAATTCACGATCTTTCATGACTTCTCAGTTTTTTAATTTAAAAATAATTTTTAATCTAAAAATTTATCACTTAGAATTTTTAATAATATCGCATTTTTAATAATACCGCATATCACTAGTTACTTTTAATAATATCGCATATTCGATATACAAATAATCATCCGTGTGAAAAAGTTTGTAATGAACTCACCGCTTGTTTCCTCTCCCAGCTCTTCATGGCCGACTTGTATTTTTCGAATTCATGACACCAGTCCGAGTATATCTTCTGATAGTCGTTGGACTTGGCCGGCGCCGAGCATCGGTGCGCGTCCACGGTTATGTTGTACGAGCAGAGCAGCGAACCGCCCAGCCAGCAATCGTATCTGCCAGCGTCTTGTTCGTTCACGCCGACGATCACCAGACCCTTCTCGGATGTCTCGATGAATTTGTCACCACCGGCGCCGTACTTATACGCAATCTGATACCTGCCCTTTTCCTTACTGTAGTGGTACCACCTGACTTCCTGATTGGCCAACACCTCCGGCATCTTTACGAAGCAACCGAGATGCACCGACTGACCCCAGGTGACTATCAGCTTCCGCTTGCCCACACTACTGTCGCAAACGTCCGCCGTGCTGTTCGACACGTCCTGAAGCAATCTGTAAACAGAAGAAATAATAGAGTGATTACGTATCCCTATTTAAGGGGCTAGGGTAATTACGTGACTTTTCTAACACGCGTCGGTAAAATTTTGACGTTACGCTTTTTTCGTCCTTATATGAGAATATTTTCTGGTCGTCAGGTACCTCTTCAGAAAGAGGATAGTCAAATTTGGCGTGGTCTGATCATTATTTAATCAGAATATGCTGATACGAGTGTTATAATGTGGACGAAAAATCGTACCTACAATGCCTCTGTTTACAAGCGATTTTATATCCAAAACAAATTGTTTTCATTAAAATAATGACCATAGTGCGCCAGATTTGCTTTGACGCAAAAACTGTGATGACTGTAATTTCCCTAATGAAATTTGAAATACGCAAAAATGACGTGTCCCGTAAACCTAGTATTAGTAATTCGAGTATTAACTCACCCAGGTTCGTATGGCTTGCACATGTTTGTGTCCTTGTCCCAGCCACAGTAAGGGTCGTGGACACAACGAAGACAGTTGTCATATCTTCGGGTACACATCACTAAATCGATTTGCTTTATTCGGTGATCGGATGCCACATACAGAGCCTTGTGCTCCTTTGAAATTTCCATCGCCTGAATTGGCTCGCCAGGTGTTACGTCGAAAACGTCCAGCAGGATGGACTGGGATTCGCCGTTGTTATCTATCCATTGGACAACTTTATGCACGCGTCCGTCACCTGAAAATACAAAGAAACAATATCCTTTACCAAACCCTATTTATGGCAACTGTCACTACTGAACAAAAGAAAATTGAATAAAAAGGATTTTCGTCTTCTCATAATAAAAAATTTAATGTATAACGTCTTTGTTTTATTATAATGCAAGAATGACAAACTGGCGAATCGCGAGTCACTTATGGGTCTTGCATGGTGGAAGCAAAGCAAAGTATGCTCTTTCGCAATATTTTTTCGCAAGCAAGAGCCATAGTTGTTTAATTAATCAATAGCATTTTTAAGATTAACCTTCTTATTGCTAGCTTCGACCCATTTTAAAACAGTTTTCTGATTTTTCTTTAGTAGTAAAATAGTAGTATTAAGAGTAATGGGGTAACTGTAACTCCCAACGGAGAAGTTCTTCAGCTCTTTTATAAAGTATGTATAATTCCTCTGGTTGTTTCAATTAACTGTTAACTACTTCTCTTCATAGATTTTTCCTTAAACATTTTCATAAGGAAGTTTGCGAAACGTAATTAATCTCAAAGTGCTAGTAGACTGATATTATAATCTATTTTTTGTAATTCGCATTCGCGCGAACATGATTTCTAACTACATTAGTTTTCAGCAGCAATAGACACTCAATGGTTAGCCGTGAGACGACGAAGAAGCGATGGCAACAGCAGATTGCGCGAGTCAACTGCAAGAACTTTCAAGTTTCCTCCCACATCTCGCTCCCCGTGATTATCTTGCCAAGTTTATCAGTGCAAAACGCATTTTAACGAGGGTTACGTTCGGAATTAAATTTCTTATCGTAATTCCGCAATCCGGTGTGTAAATTTAAACCTAATGAAACGTAAAAGTTACACTCGGAGATTTGCAGTTAGCATTATCTGATCGTAGCGTACATACAGAGCACGAATGCACTTTAGAAATAAATTCAATCGGTCCTTAAAATTGTTGATCAAATAACTAAGGCGATGAGATCAGAGATGAAATAAATCAATTTCTTTCTAATTGAATTGTTGTCCTGTACCATATATTTTATTATAAAAAGTCTATTATTCTCTCTTTTTTGCACTGTAAAAAATATTTTGGAATAATTTCTACTACTTTTGACTTCCTTGATTTAATCAATATAATTATAGAGCACTACAAAAAAGGAAATATCTAATGTGAACCAATAAAAATATAAAGTAGCACAGTACTTATTTATTTTATTAAAAAGCTTTATAAAAAATTCTGATTTCTTAAAACACAAAAATCTATTAATTTAATGTACTACACGGTGTAATTTGTTACTTTACATGATTAATCTTATTGACTCAGCCTGTATATAATTTTGAAGCAAGTACTTACTGGATCCAGCGTAGTAGACCGTGTAGTCGAGATCAAGCCCGACGAAATCGATCCTGAGCTTATCGACGACCAGCCGCGTGAGCATCACGTCGCGTTTATAGAAGACGGGCTTCTCGTTCTCGTGCGATATGGCCGAGTCCATCAGCGGGTGTGATCGTATGAAGTTGAGCACCGTGTCAGGGAACGTTTCCGTGTCGTTCACGCATTGACCCGGCCGCGGGTCAGGAACTTTGTTGGATAACACCGGAAGCCAAGCGCTGCTGCTCGTCGCCTGTTCCTTGAATTTTCCACGGAACGCCTCCTGAATCGCGTCGATGTGGAACGAGCAGATTGCCGAACCCATTAATCCATTCGTCGACGTGGTGAACGTGCCGTAAAAGTGGGTATCGTCCCCTGGCACCTTGTAAATACTCTCTGGAAAAATAAGAATGAGGAACCGAATGAATCAATTTAATGATATAATCAATGATACGATAAAGATAATAGTGGTTGATATAAATGATATGAGG